ACGTGGATTGGAAGGCTCAAATTTCGACTTTTGAGTTGTGAACACTATTACTGATTATAGCATACCTTAAAAATTCCGTTACTGAATCTATAGTTATATAAGGCCGAATGGATGGCGAACGCGTCCCTTTGATGCCAGTTATCCTGTTCAAAACGAAACACTTTAAATTTTCCTTTTGTATAGTTTGGTTGCATATTTTTTTTTATGAAATACATGTAACTAATGCGTTGCGCTTTATTTGAAAAATTACAGAAAGTGTCACATTTTTTCTGTCTTATTTCATTTTCTGATACAGAAATTCTAAGGCTTCATTTATTAATTTGAATTAACCTTCTTCTGACAAAACTATACCACATACGTGATGACATAATTACGCCACGACAGTACAGTTAGTCTAAGTAATAAGGGTGCCTCGGTGAATGCTTTCAAGAATCAGGGTGGGTCCAACGGCCGAAACAACAGTTCTACTGTCTACAGCTCAATATAATTCAAAAAATACATAGTCAAACTGATAGGAAGTCAAATTGTGAGACTTTGACACAATGATGGCATAGTTCACCTATTAGCATAAAAGCGTGAGTGCTTTCGTGAGTCGGTAGGTATGCTCCGTCCTATGCTTTTGGACTTGGCGTTTTATCAAATTGATGGGAACAAATTGTGAGACGTGGACACAGTTCACCTATAAGCAGCAAAGATGCCTCGGTGAGTGTTTTCGGGTGTTTTTGAAACAATATGATGTGGCTTGAGCACTATGTTCGGTTGAAAGTAGTAATGATTTTCGAGAAAAAGGCTTCAATATGTTCAACTATGGCAATTCAATGATTATATGTTGGCATTATTCAGGCAATATACAGAAAGCGGATTAGAAAATGACGCAAAACTCGGTTACATATCATTTTGTTCAAATTAAATCGAACAAGGAAATTACCGTTTGATTTCACCCTATTTTGATTTATAGTAAATATATAATACGAGCTCATATGAATTAAAACAAGATAATACGTGGCATTTACGTAGTTATAAATGGTTATTTCCACTAGAACGGTAATAGCTGTCATTCCCAAAATTGCATCACTTTTAATCACAAATCCATAACGGAAGTCCCGCTGCTAAAGGTTGCAGCGCATTCGGCAATCATCGACGGTTTACTCAAAGCTGAGCAGCAGAACTTTCACGGTAAGCCGTTTGGTTGCCCATTCAGTCCCTTCACCGGTCCAACAACGTCTCTTTCCACAAGAGTTGCTATGGACTTTGCAATAGCTATCTATACATCATAATACACTTAGGTTTTGGTGGAATTGCAGGAACCACGGATGTCTGATTGAAAATTGGAATGGTGCAAATCAGTGCCATCAGTGTCCCCGAAACACATTAAACCTCCTTACAATGCCTCAAACATGAATTGAAATGTAGCGAATATAGTGGCACCATAGTTCGTTCTACCTTGACCATTGTGGCAGCTGTCATTCAATTTCCCTAAAATCTGGAGTACGAATCCCCAAAATCAGTCCAACACAAATATGCACAAAGAAAAGGTTAGACGATCTATTAAAAACTATAAATAATCTAATGAGCAGCGCCCCAACTTGAGATAATTAGCATGTGATGGGGGGTTAATATATTCTAAATTGGTTTGTTCTTTAAATACTCAGATTTCTAGTTCTAACTGCATTATTTGGGGTAATTGAAATTGATTTGACTTTTACCATCAATCTGTGCTAGTTTGAGTTCACTTTTAGATGTAGCCCGACAACTGTGGCCCTACCCAGTTATTCCGACGTGATACCGGATGTGATATCGTTACTATAAGTGGCCCTACCGAGTTTCTCACGTTTGAATGATACTTGTCGTACCAAGTTCCTTAGACGAGATATCGCCACACAATTCTGATCCTACCCAGTTCTTCGGGCGTGATACCGGATGTAATATAGTCACTATAAGTGGCCCTACCGAGTATCTCGCATTTGGATGTGATATCGTCACCAATTCTTGTAGTACCAAGTTCCTCAGACGTGATACCGGATGTGATATTGTTACTATAACACTAAGTCTGATCCTACCCAATTCCTCAGACGTGATACTGCATGGATGTGATATCGTTACTAACAGTGGCCTTACCGAGTTTCTCAGGCGTGATATTGTCACTATGTGACATCTGGATGTGATATCGTCACTAATTCTTGCCTTTCCCACTTTAGGCGTGATGTCTGGATAACTCTGGCCCTTACTAGTTCCTAACACGGGATATCCGGACGTGATATCATCTCAACTCTAACTCTAAACAGTTTCTCAGACGTGATATCGTCACTAACTGTGGCCCTACCCACTTCCTTCAGACGTGATATATGGATAACTCCGGCCCAAGTTCCAAGTTTAAAGTTCCTCAGACATGATATCGTCACTTACTTTGGTCTTGCCAAATTAGTTCTTCAGATTTGATATCCGGATGTGATATCGTCATTAACGCTGGTCCTACCCACCCACTCAGACGTGATTTTATCATTAACGCTGGCCCTATGTAGTTCCTCAGAAATGATATCCGGACATGATATCCGTCACTTCCGTTATTCAAATCAATGACGTATTTAATTAATAGGCGTTATTAAAAAAGAAACTCTACACAGGAAAAGAGTGAAATTTAAGACAACTAGTTTAATTCTCCCCTATTTTGTTTGTCTATGGCGTTGTTTTTGTTTATTTCCTCTGTGTGATAACCTAAATACTTCTTCACTTCATTGACTGATATTTTTAAGCACAATAAGGTACCATCATTTTCATCACATCCAGCATTGAAATCGCTGTGATGCAAGTTGAAAGCGTCTCGTCGTTAAGATGGTACAATTAACCCCAATTGGCAATTGGTAATTGCCAAAAAGAGTAGGGTTTTACCGCTGTTCTAACGATATTTCCCTCATTGCACACTGCATGGTGTAGCTTATCTTCATTATCCAGAAGCAGGAAAGAAAAGGACATAAAAGTATATTCCATTTCCAATTTATATCAAATGTCCTTCAAACTAGCTCAAAAAGGTCAAACAGGAAAATGTCATTTCAATATGTCCGAAACGTATATAATGTGAATACTAAATTAGTAAATTACCACGTGCAAATGTCAACGAGAAAGTTTTCTGTATTTAGTAATAGTAATTCTACCAATTACCTCATCTCGAAATTGGCAGAGTCAAATGCCACCAGACAATTTTAAATACAAAACTGACGTGTTCGACTTTGATGATGCAATTTCGTAAATCTAGTTCAAGGATTTAACGTGGGCACAAATTAAAAGGATTATAAAGAGTTTTTCTAAATGTATGTGTACCGGAGATACCGAGAGCGTTGATTTGCACCATTCTGGTTTCAGTCAGACGTCTTTGACTCTTGTAATTCCACTAAATCTAAACATTTCATGATGTTGATATCGCAAAGGCCGTAATCTAAGCAAAACTGCTGTCAAGAGATTGTTATGAGTTGCTGTAAGTGTGTGTATCGACGGCATTGGAAACATCAATTAGCACGTCTATGGTTCTTGCAATTCCACTAAAACTAACATTTTATGACTGCACTATCGCAAATAACTGTTAAGATTGACGCCTCGAAATTTGATATGACTAATACTTATCGAACATCAAATACAGCCTGTCTAATGGGTGGTTGTAATGACCACTCCGGGCAGCTCGTACTTAAATTAAAATACTGAGAGGCGCTAGGTAGAGTTATGTCCCATATACCCAAAAAGTTTCTTGACCCTCCAACGGCATTCAAGTTTCAAATTTATTATCATTGAGGTCTTAAATGCCAGGGACGTTTCTAGAAACTGGGGGGATATAGGTGTCTCTCCGAGGCGAGGGCCCAAGGGCCAAAGCCCATTAGAGCAGGGATCCGGGTGTCATTTCCAATTCGCCCCGTCTCCGTCTTATATCGCCCCTTGCTATTTTGCCCATTCCCCTATCGCCTCCTCCTCAATAACTTAAACTTTTTCCAGGAATATCGGCGCTACCAGAGGCCCATCCAAAATCCTATGGATTTCAGATGGCATGAGATGAATTTTGAGCATTGAGAGGGCTTAAGTTTCCTTACTATTCTACTTGGCCCAAATTCCTTATGATTCATAGAACGGCACTGGCAAGGAATTAAATAACAGTCTTATAAAGCAAAGTTTATATTTAAACAATACTGAATACATGTACTATAATAACAACAATGATATAACTATGATTTTACACAAGAACTATAAATATCAATAAAGGAACAAATAAATGAATGAATAAAATGATAGAATTGAAACCAGTGATGCTTGAACATATAACAAGATACCAATTTAAAGGGATTGTAAAGAGAAGGATTTGAACGACATGTAGAAGCCAGGAGCACATATAACATAACACAAGACAATATTATAGAATATAACACACTTCTTTAATAAGGTTGGGCACATAACCTTTCAACACAATATACACGTGTCGATATCATCGATATCAGATGTAATGAATCATTACGACACGTGTATATTGTGTTGAAAAGTTACGTGCCTTGTTGTCTTGTGTTTTGTTATATGATTGTAAAGAGGTTTTTAAAGTTTTTTATGTGTATCGGGGACACTGATAAAATCAATTTACACCATGCCAATTTTCAATTGGATATTTTTGATTCCTGCAATTCAACAGAATCTTGGTATTTGATGACGTCACTAATCGCGAAGGGCCTTATGTGATATGATAAATCATATTTTGCGACGTCTGGTAAGACAATACGATAAGCTGTAATCAATTATGTTAAACCCAGGATTTTTCCCACAAAACTGAACACATTATGAATAAATTGATACAAATGTAATAGATGAACATGGTCGTAATAACTACGAAAGCACAGATCAAGGAGAAATGTAATAGAGTACAATATCTTTCCTCGACTAATTCATGATATGAAGTGACTATGAATGAATGAATGAAGACGATGAATGAATTAACGGATATAGCGTTGACTTTCTTCCTGTTTATAAGGATCAGGATATTCTGTAAGATCTAGAGTCAGCACGTTACTGATTATACAATCACCAATCTGAAAACAGAAAAAAAAATCCAATTGAGATCTTCAAAGTGTACAGCCTGTAGTACACTAGGCTATTGTTTATTGTCTAATCTTTTCCATGTCAGTGCCTCGGAACTCCATCATTTATAGGGACAAACAAAACTGGACAGTATAATATGGACTGATGCCAGAATTGAACCCTGTACTTTCAGCGTATTCAGCAAGCTTCCTTGTGGAAAAAAGTAAATAACAGTGACAAGAGGAATCTAAGTTCCTATGATTGAAACCTGGACCTCCATGTTAGCCAGCAAGCATTTCTTAGTCCCTCTGCCACTGCAGTTTCCCTCCTTATGAAAAATTATAAAGAGTTTCTCTCACCTCTGGGTAAATTCCAATCAAAGCATCACCACGGTTATAAAACTCTTCTTTTAAACTGATGACAATACACTGGAAGTTTTTCTCTGATTGTTCCCGAATATAGGCCGCTACCTTCCCAATGTTAGTGTTATCTAAAGCTGCATCAATCTCATCCAGAACGAAAAATGGTGCTGGTTGATAACTGGAAAAAACAAAGAAGAACGCTTAGAAACCAATTTTTAATGTTAAAATTCTTTAACCCTTTGAATGTCACATAAGTCATTAAGTATGGCTGCTCAGGGATATTATACTGCATAATTATATGGCATGTTAATGCCGCTGCTAGTATTTAAAGAGTTAATACATTGTATTCCATAATAGAAAATTATCAGACTAATTCAAGGGCAGTAACTCATATCATTGCCTACAAAACAGACTGCTTAAAATATCAGACCCAACTAGCTTGACCTTCATGTTATGCGTAAACGAAACATTGTAGGCCCTCTTAAGGCATCCATAAGAAAGTTTTACCTTTGTATAGAGAAGAGTAAAGCCAAGGCAGCAACTGTCTTTTCACCGCCAGATAAGTTATCCATGGGTCGGAACCGTTTACCAGGCGCTACACAATTATAGTTGATTCCATCTAAATAGGGTTCTTCTGGATTCTCTGGTCCTAATAAAGCTTGAGCACTCTGATTTCTGGATAAATCCTAAATAAAACATAATGTTTGAAATCACACAAATTTGGATATTTTATAAATGAAATGAAGTTTTACATCCCTCTAATCTGTTCTTGCTTGCTTCGTGAGCTTCAATGCCATGCAGTATGCAATAAGGAAACTTTTTCCAAGTCCTCTTAAAGACTCTAATACTGTGTTTTACGTATATCACCAATCATACACTAAGTATAAAAAACTTGCCCCACAATGAGTTAAAAAATAATTTTTGTAAGATAACTTAAGCAGGCTTTAAAACAATCTTAAATATCTAAATATTACTATGAATACAAGAGGAAAATTAATTTTAATCAAATATTTTACCTTATAAACATCGTCTATTTGGTTTGAAACATGTTCAAAACATTTCATAAATCTATCATAACGTTCTTTTCGAACTCTTTCAAAAGCTTGTTTGGCTCTTTTAGCTCTTTTTCTGGCTGTTTCAAATTCTTCTGAGGTTTCATTGAATTTAAACCTAACAGAATCTAATCTGGAAATAAAAAAAAGTAATTTGAGATGTCAAAAATATAACATATTTTAATTTGGCAGGACTATTAATTCGGTCATATTTGCCAGTCATGTCTTGATTTAGAATTGAAAAATACCCAGCAATGACTGATTTGCAGGACATTTGTTTTAACTGTGGTTTTCATTGAACATTACAAGTAAAGTAATCTCTGAAATACTGTCAAAAGTACCGGTATATCGAAATTTGATTTTATTGACCATAATTTAAGCATATAAAAATATGACCCCCATGTAGAGAAGAATGCAATTTGGCATAGCTTACTTTTCATTGGCTTTCATATTTGGTGCATTAATTCTCTGTAAAGTTGTATGCATGTCAGAACAGGCTTTCATCAATGAATCTAGGGTCTTCTTTACATCATCAACATGGTCCAACTATAATAATAGGGGATAAAACAGTTAATCATCAGAAATCATCTTCCACTCATCCAGGGCTGCTGTGGCTAAGCAAGTTAGGTGCTTAATGCTTGAGTTTTTGGCAAGCTACAGATCCTTGCCCAAATTCTGCATTGGTTGAGATAATACTTTCACATTAGTTAGAGTAGCATCAAGACATTCTGGAGGCTGTGACTCAAAGCTCCTTTGATGACTAAATGTTTCAAGGTTGACTCAATATGCCACAGATCTCCATGGACATAGTTCTGGCCAATTTTACCCTATTGCATACTTCAACATGTTGCCATCTTCATTTGGCCAATGTATAGAACAAATTTTGATCAACTTACCTCTTTATAGTCATCATTAAGAGAGCTATAGTCTAACACAATGTTCGCTTCACGTTGGTATATTGCCTTCGCTCCCTGACTGTTTAAACTATCTGGTGTTTCACTCTCAGCATGGCTGGATGGTTCGTTCTCTTGGGTGATGTCATCCATACGGCCTCTTTTCATTGGTAGACGGATGTCATCCATCTGTATTAAATAATGATGATTAAAACTGACATCAGAAGCGGTTTATATTTGGCAAAAAAGAGGGGGGAAGACTGTAAACAATATGGCTGCCCATGTATTTAAGGGCTCATATTGGCTGTATAAGCTCTAATACCTTGACATTATAAGACACTTATTTTGAATCACTGAAGTTAATAAATGAAGTGATTTGATTGGATCGAAGGCAAGCAATCAAAGCATTTCATTTTTAAACTTCTGTGATACCAAAAAGTGTCTTATGTCAAGGTATTAGACACAGTTCCTTGACATTGTGAAGATGCCTTTTGAGTAGAAAATAAGTTCAAGAATAGAGTAGAAAAATAAGTTCCAGAATGGAGTAGAAAAATAAGTTCCAGATTGGGTAGAAAAATAAGTTTCAGATTGAGTAGACAGTAAGTTCAATAATTGAATTGACTGCAAGTTTACCATTACAAATGACCCAATCCACTTTCTTACCTTACAAGTTTTCAGGAGGCTGTGTCTATCTGCACGTTTTTGTTCTAGCTTGGTTTCTAGGGCAGTGATAGCTTTCTGTATAGAAGCTATTTCTTTAATTTGTACGCCTAGTCGTTTACGTATTTCACTGATTGTACCATCTATATCATCATTCTGAGATTTTACTGTTATTTTCTGTTGTTTTAAACGTTCTGTATTCTGCATATCTTCATCAATTACCTGAAAAAATAAAATTGTTTTTGACATGGGGAAATGAAAAGATTTGAGTTTTACGTCCTAATCAACTGCACCTGATTTGGCTAATGAAGGCAGGCAAAAGTCTTGCAGTGTCCAATGAGGGATATATTTCTATCCTACTCTTATATAATTTCCAACTACTGTAGCACATTTAACTACTGAGGGATCTTAAACGAGCATAGTCTGTAGCACATCTAGCCTCACTTCATTTGTATGTCTGAGGCTTTTTCATATTCAGTACCTCTGTTCTGAATCACTAGGCAAAGATTAATTCAACCATCCTGTTATTGATTGGCAGTTTTCAGTGACAGGTTGAAAATAGATAGCATAACTTACTTTCATTTGTTTAGCCTCTTCTTTCTTAACCTTTTCTAGTTCTTTTTCATCATCTTGTACAGTCTTCTCCCATTTTGATACATTTTCTATAAAAATAAGCAACGTTTAACTTCAATCATTTATCATGAAATAAGCAATTTACCCTGAACCTCATTGCAGCCTAATAAGATCTTCCTTTATCTTTCATATTTAAATTTCTGAGAAACTTAAAACTTTTCTTTCAAATCATAGCAAGGAGGAGATTAAATATCAACCTTACCTGCTGTATCTCGTGATTTTTCAAACTCAATTTGATTCTGAAGTCTAAACTTCTGGTTTTCAAATTCCAGTCTTTTCTTGGCTCGGTCTTGTTGTACTCTCAATTCACGCTCTTCATACTGTCTGTAAAATACAACGTTATATTCTTTAAGCTGTTTGAAAACATGATCCTGTTTCTTAAAAACTTACAGGAATTGTATAGAGGTTGTCTACTCTTTCTATGTTTAACAGGGACACTGACAGCAATGATTTGCATCATTTCATTTTCAGTCAGACGTTTGTGGTTCCTGTAATTCCACTAAAACTAAATCTTTTATGAAATCACTATTGCAAATGCCCTTAAATATAGTATCAGCTTTTGCCATAGTGATGTCACTGTATGACAGTTGACAATGGGGCTTACTAGAAAGGGTGCCTATTAGTTTGGGTCTTAAATCATTACCTGATATTTGCCAAACCAATTTTGTCGACCGAAATCGATACGAATAGTAATGAAGGTCTTTTAGGAAAGGGTACCTGTTTATTTGGATATCGAAGTGGGTCTCAGAAAAGTATTAAATCTTTACCTGATATTGGCTACACCAATCTGTTGACAGAAATCACTGAAGACTTCATCTTCTACTCTGTTCATTTTATCTTTTAACTGTTTAATTTTATCACCTCGTTCTGTCATCACCTGGTCTATCTCTAACATCCTCGGCTTAAGAATTTACACATTTGTTTTAAACAATGGAGTATTACACCTAATGTTTCTAGGCAAAGAGACATGCAGTTGGGGGGAATTTTACAAGGTCAGTAGTAGACCTTCAATTTTCACCGGATCTTTAATGAGTTGATGCTTTTTTTTTTTTTAAATCAGTTTCTATATTATTGAAGCCAGAGACCAGATCAAAAACCCTGATCTACAGGATCCATGTTGTATTGAACTTAATGACACCACTGTTTCCCTGAGTCATTCTGGCTATTAAGCTAGTAAAAAGTAAGAAAAGACCCCTCTGTTAATATACTTACGTCAAAAGAGACCATCATATCATTATACTGCTGTAGATCTCGGTCATTCTGTGTTAGATGTTTATTCAACTGAAAGTATTAATAGCTTTGTTTAATATCAATTATTGCTTGGATTGTAATCTTGGTGGGTGAGTCAAACTCTGTTGACCATAAATGAGCCATCCTTACTCACAATTCCAGTTAACCCAGCTGTAAATGGGTACAGATAATCTGGTAAAGATCAATGCTAATATTCCAAGGACCAGCTGGTAGAAAGGATCCTTAACTGTGAACCTAAGTTGTTATCCTTGTAAAATATAGTTGTTTCTTTCTTGTTCAACTTTTCTTCAGTCAATGCCAAGAGTTGTGGTCAAGGACCAGCTGGTAGAAAGGATCCTTAAGTTGTTATACTTGTAAAATACAGTGTATTCTTTACTCAAAATATTTATTTACTCACTGTGTTGTCTCTATCAGTCAGAGAATACTTCAATCTGGTTTCTAAACCTTTGATCTGTGATCTTATCGTATTCAATTCTGATTCTTTACGTTTCTTCTTCAACTGTTCTTTTAATTCTTCAGACAGTTTCTCTTTCTTGGTTTTTAGTTGAGTTAACATCTTAGAATCCCATCTTCTAGCTTTCGCTTTCAAATCACTAGAAAAAATAACACATATATTCAATTATTAGCTTTGTTACGTCCAATAGGGACAGCATGGATAATCCAGGAAAGATCAATGCTAAGAGGTTTGGCCACAGACCTGCTGGTAGTTCCTGAAAAGTTCCTTAAGAACCTAATCATTTATCTTGGTAATTTTTCTATTTTTCCATCTGGAAATTAATCAGCTACAACAATATACATGTTGCTCTCTTTGAATTCCATAAACATATGTTTCAATGGATTTGAATTAATATTCTATTTTATCTTTGGAATAATCTGTAATTCTTACCTGGCACCACCAGAGATAACTCCAGACTTCTGGAACAATGTACCATCTAGCGCCACAGACTAAAAAATTACAGAAAAAGCATGTTCATGTGATGGAAAACAAAATCTGAAATAGCGGTTTTTACTTTTCTACACCCAAGACCAAATTTCACCAGGATTATGGGAACTAATTTGCCTGCTTTTCTAACTGTCTCGGAATCATAAGAAGCTTAAAGCACACCAAACTTTGTCTATCATCATCACAGATAGAAACCTGGCTCTTCCATATTCAAACAAGTTGACAGTAATGATGAATAGAATAGAGCCTACCTTGTGTCTTTCGTGGCCACCAAAAGCAACCCGTCTAGCATCTTCCACAGTTTCACAGACCAGAGCGTTACCACAAGCGAAGAGTAGAGCTTTTTTAATAACTGGTGGATCATATCTTATAACATCTATAACTAACTTCACATTCTTAGGTTCTCTTATATCTCTACAATATTAAATATTACATGATAAGCCAATCAGAGTATTTCTACATATGTTTTGTTTTGTAAAAATGAACACACACATGGAAATTATAAAAACTTATACCAGTATGAACAACCTCTCATACAAAAAAGATAGTTTTGATTGGTTCTTAAAGCTATTTGGATCAAGTGAACAACAGTCCCATCTATTTTTTGATATAATGGATAGTTGATTTAAACAAGGATAGTGAACTATATGTTAGCAAAAGCTATTTGGATAAGTGAACCTTGGTTCCATCTATTAATTGATAAGGGACACAGTTTAAATGACGTCCACTGTATTTACCTGAGTTTCTCGTTGACCTGTTTAACATCCAGGTAATCTAAAGGTAAAAATGTTTCAGGTTCAATTCTTTGTTCCTTCATGTACTGAATACAATCTTTAGCTGTTTTCTCTGTATCACATACTATAGCATCCATGTATTTACCTGAAAAAGAGAAATTGAGTTTTATTAAAATGAAATAAATGGAATTTCACTTCCTACTTCTCTGAACATTTCAGGCTGATGAAGCCAGACAGTGCCAGAAATTTTGCCAGCATTAGCCTACCCTTTTTTGATTCTCCTGTCAGAGATAACGTGCACAGTCTGTAGCAAGCCTGGCTTTGGTTAACTGTTCCATCCGAACGACAAGTCATTTTGCCATGTCAACTCCCCCGACCTGTATCAGCAACAAGGCGATGGATTTTTACCCCCTAATTTGGTTAATGAAATGAATATAGTTTGACGTTCTATATTTCTTCTCTGATTTGGTTATAGAAGACACAGAATTAACAAAAGCATCTTACCCAAAACCTTAGTGATAGCAACTTGATATTTTTTGTGACTTGGTTCACACAGATCAATCAGTCTACCATGCTGAAATAGAAAATACATTCAGTTACAATTTGAAAAGTGACACATTTGGGTTATTTTAACCAAGATGAGCGATTTTAAAAATATAACAATTTTCTGTTCCTTTCACCTCAGACCAATATATTTATCATGTGCAAATGTTGTGAAGAACTTACCACTCCTGGGAAAAGACGTTTTAAATTGTCCAGTAATTCAGCTTTTTTCATGGCTCTAGCCGACTCATGTTTATCAACCTGTAATAAAAATTGTAAAAAATTTCAACCTTTCAAATGACCTAGACCAGTTTTATGCTCAAAATCCTATAATCCAAAGATATACAGGTAAGACAGGCTGACAAACAACATGGAAAAAGTGTCTAGTCGTTTGGATGGGACAATAAACCAAGGCCCCGTGTGATCCCTCGACAGTTGGAAATTGAAAAAGGGCAGGCTAATGCTGCTGAGTGTCGTGGCAAAATTACCCTCATTGCACCCTGCATGGCCTTGCCAGTCTTCATTAATCCACAGAAAAGTAGGATGTAAAACTCCATTCACAGTCTCATCTACTTATTTGTAAGGGCGCTTGTCATTAAGTATAACTTTATACCTTAGCTTCTCCAAGCTGTTCTATTACAGAAGATAACTCAACGTTAATTTCTGTTATCCTAGAATTAGCTGTTTCTACATCATATCCTAATTCTTCTTCTATTTTCTTCTGTTCAGATATAGCTTGTGAACTCGTCCTAGAAAAAATAATAAAAAAATGGACTATAATTTTTCAATTTCCAATTTCAGTATAACCTGTTGCACATCAGAGTTCAAAGTAATTATTTCCAAAATATAATGAGACAAAGGACGTCTTAGCACTCTAAGCATGTCCTTTTTACAGACCTCTTAAAAAATGTGCTAATGTTTTTCAAAATACTAATGTTCAGATATTTAGCATGTGGTAAAATTAGGTCTGATACACCAAAGTGACATACATCGTCCTGTCTAGCATTTAGCCCAGGTTTTCTAAAAAATTCCAAAAACGCAAATGTTAGCAATTCTTTTCTTTTGGAAAAATCCTAAATAACTCACTTAATATAATCATTGAGTTTATCAACTCGTTTTAAATTTTCTTCTTTTTCGTGTTCTTTCTGTTTGAGTTTAGCTGCTATTTCATTCTTCTTTCTGACTTCATTATCGTATCGATCTTGATCTGATTTCTGTTCACGATTAATCGAGTCTAGTTCTTGTAGATATCTAGCTGATAGTTTACCAGCCTTTTCTTTTAGTCTTTGATATTCTGTTACCTTGGAAACGAAATGAAATAATAACAGATATTGCTTTTTCAACACAAAATACCAAAAAGAAACTCCTTCAGTTAATAGGACTATCTTGAATTGTGTGTTTATCATTTCAAGAGCTTTTATAGAGATTCAGATGCCTCACAGTGTGCAATGAGGGAAATTTTGATAGGGAGTATTTAGAACATTACTCTTAGTACAATTAACCAATTCTACTTACTTGTGTTTCTTCTAGCTGTAAGGAACGACCTTGACTTTGAGATTCTTCTTCGATCTTTTCTTCAAATTCTTGTCGTTTTCTTTCGATTTCTTCTAATTCATTTTCTAAGGTTTGAATCTTTAAAAGAAGAAAATATTGAAATGTTTATAGAGTATGGATTTTAAATATAAATCACCAAAAAAAATTCCCTTAAACACATTCTATCCTGAACCCTGAATTTTTTGAAGACGTTTCAGAATGCAGTGTACCTGCATGGAAAAAAGAAGACAGAAATTAAAAGGGCAGAATAAAGAATAAAATTTGAATGTGACATATCCTCTTCTGAACTATTCAATTGAGGCCAGAATTAAACAGACAAGGGAAAGCAACAAATTTTTGATTCAAGTTTTTACCTCTTCTTCATGATTGTCATGAGTCTTTCTGGCTTGTTTTAATGATTTTCTGAAAAAAACACATAAATACAATGAAATATATTTTCAATTTGTCAAATTTTCAAATTAGCTTTTTCAATTACTCAAACAGATGCATTTTCCTTAAAATTTTCAAAGACTTGCTGACGACATAAATTTTACCATTATCAAACCTTGATAGATTCTATACAGTTTTTAAGGTATTATTAAATTTGTAAACATACTTAGCTGATTCTAGTTTTTTAATCATATGAGCTGTTTTCTCTTTAGCTTTGATGTAGAGTGGTCTTTTCTTGTTCATCTCTACTTCCTACAAAAATACATTAAATAAAATTAAATCTTTCAAAGCAAAACAGGGGTTGCAGCATTGTAGCACTTCATTCAGATGTTGAAAGTCAAGTCAACCCTGAGCTGAGGCAACTAACAAAAGCATTGGCTATGAACAGAATGTCTATTAAGTTTTTCAAAAAAGTATAATTCTTAGTAAGTTAGTAATATAACATTTGTATCTAAAGAGGTGAAAAATATTGTACATAATGAATATGAGCCGATAAAAACACCCTTTAATTTCAAAATCAACTCTTCCAGATATAGGCATCACTGTGTTGTATCACTGAGCAATTGCGGAAGATCTCATTATTGGCTAAAGTGGAGGCCAATATGCGACAACAGCAGTATACTCACCAATTCCTTAATGTTCTGGTCAATTTTGGTTAATTCTCGACTCATTTTGCCCTGTTCTTTTTTCTTATCTTTCACCTCATCCTCAATTTTGTCTCTTTTTCTATTTTCTTTTTCCAGGGCATGGTTTTTCCTTCCCAATTCTTCGTTAATTTCTTCAATATCTCGTTCGTTATGGTATAACCTGAACAGTTGCAGTTCTAATTCTTTTTCACACTAAATGAAATACATAAAAGTTCAGGCTTTAACACACAATTGATGAAATGAATGGAGTTTTACCATGTGGGCTAATGAAGACGGGCAACGCCATGCAGGCGAAATTTTGCCAGGACAGCGGCATTCATTTTAAAGATTCACTTAGACTGTACATACATGGACATTTATGATTGGTCAAAACTCTTAATTATATGCAATAAGATATGATTAATAATAATACATGATAATTCATTAAAAACACCAATTAATCAAATAGTTTTCTTGAATTAACACTAACAATTAAGGAAACCCATCTTTAAATGTGATACTGGCAACAATTTTTTATCCAAATCTGCTGGTGTAGCAGCTTTTACCAAATGAAGACATAACGTTAACCTGGAACAGTTTCAGTTATATCACTTGGATTTCTTGGTACCGTACACATTCAGTGTCGAAAAGGTTAAGAAACTAAAATTTTCCAAGATATTTACCAATTGTTCCTTCAGTCGTTGATATCTTTCAGCTTCATCTTTCTCCATCTTGGCTTCCTTCCTCTCAGCAGCAATACCTTTCTTTTTAAAATAGTTAAACTGAGTGTCTTCTTCAGCTTTTAACATTTCAGTCTTCGCTTTATCATACTCATCCTTTAACTCTCCTGATCTGCCAAGGTCAAAAGTGAAAAGGTCAAAGGTCGCGCTCTCAAAAGCTATGATGTGCCTGGTGTGGAATTGGTCAAAAGTTACAGTTGCAGCATCGGAAATGTTTCTTGTATTTAGATACAATGACCGTTGGTTTGGCCATATAATGTCTGAATGAAAATAGCTTGAATGGGGATCAAGCCCAATAGGTCTGAGAGGCTACCAAAAACAAGTTTATGCTTCTGGAAATTTCTTAACTCATTTCTTACCTACTAATTTCTTCAAACATGGCTGTCCTCTCCTTAGCATTTTTCATAGCAATACTTTCCACAGTACCTTGGAACACCAAGAAGTTTTTAGATTTGACTAATACTCCAATCTTAGCCAACTCAGCTGCATATTCAGCTGAAGATACATTCTAAAAGTGGACAAAGAAAATAAAAATAAATTCAAACCCCCACCTCCATTTCTCAATTAATTTATGGATAAATGGGTGGAATTCTACATTAGGAAATGTCCTGTGTGCTATAGAATGTGTGCATTAAGGATCCATTCACAGTTGGAAAGTAGGATGTGAAACATAATAACTTTTCAACGAAGGGGGTCTTTGTCCACACTAATCTACAAACATTTGAGTGTCATGTCAACTTGTGGACAAAACTAGATAACTAGTAACTACAATTCTGATTAAAGACTTATTCCACTTACATTTCCATTGACTTTGTGTTCTGAAGTATTATTGTGGATAATTCTGGTAAAAACTATTTCATCATTAGCTTCTGTATCCATATATACAGCTGACACTGAGGCCTTGTTTGATGCTGGTTGACCAATCGGGGCTCCATGGATTAAAGACTAGAAAATAACAAAACATATTTATCATGATTGTGTGTCAAATATTAACCATTCTTCATGGTTGCTTCACTATAAATTCGTGATGATTCAATTGTACTCCAAAATCAGTTTATTCCCACATTGTTGCAAATCGATCCATTTTGCCCCTTCTCATTACCCCCTGTCCCATTGAAGTTGATATTTGAAAGATGCTTACATTTAGTTTCTTTGCTCTTAAATTTGTTGTTTTCTCACCAAGAACAAAACTTATAGCATCCATCAAATTAGACTTTCCTTAAAAAAAAGAGAATATTCCAGGCATTTACGTTATGTTGCGTATTTTGGCATGATATATTGATGTAGAAAAATAATGTGAAATGATCATGGCTCCTCTTTATCACGCCTCCAGTGCGTTCCAATGGCTTATTCTTGCGTAGAGGCAATGCAATATAAAATGGCAATGTAGTCTTTTATTATGACATGTTTACATTCCAAGCTTCCATTAGCATGAGTACATTCGATCTATAATGATAATTATAAGGGCGATATTAGCAAGCATGCAAAAGGAAATATAGGTAAGACGGAGGGGGAATAATGTTGATTTCGTTCTTTGTTTACCTGATCCATTTGGCCCAATTATTGCAGTGAACGGCTTGAACGGACCGATTCTTTGACGGCCCTTGTACGACTTGAAATTGTCCACATCGATAAACTTGAGGTAGCCAGGCATATTGGCTACGTTTAGTCCTTCAACCTAATAATAAATCGGTTTGAAATGCATGGGACAATAATGAGATATTTGATCAAAACATATCCAATTTCTGTGTTGACAAAATTTAGCGGGAATAGATGTCGCTTTAATCGGAAGTAACGGGATGTCTCGTGAATTCTCGCGAGAAGGAAGAAAATTTATTCCTCCTGACTATTGCTCAAAATTAAAAATTAAAATAGCTTTAATATAACTCAAAAATAAAAATGAAAATAAAAAATAATGCTTTAAAAAAGAAGAGTTCGACCCAAATCAAAATATTTTAATTTGGACTTAATATGTTTTTTGTAAATTGTTTTAGAAATTAATATTTGGAATAATTATCCCGCACCACTTGGCAACAATGTCTACCTAGCAACGTTTACATTGGAGAGTTCAATAAATTATTTCATGGTTGGTGAGTGAAGATCGTCATTTGGGAAAGAAGTAGGCATTCAAGATGTACAAACTCGATCTGCCTGTCGATTACAAAGAGGCGGCTGCCATTGAGCGCCGCCGGAAAATGGAGGAGGAGCGTCAAAGTAGAATTTTTAATTCAAAAGTCAGAACAATCGGGGTAGGTTAACAATATTATATTTTATTTCTTCAAAATCGTTACACTATTTATGACATGTCTTCAAACTTTTTATCTTGACTACGTCCATTGGCTAAATGGTTATAGATGTTGACTTTCCTAGAATGATTTTGTAGCCTTTGAGGCGCAATGTTTTTTCAAGCTATGCTTGAATCAACCAAACAACACGTCAACCTTAAGTTGGTCTAGAGAAGTGGTTAACACTTACTTTAAGTTTAGACAGAATACAGTATGAAGATTGAATACACCAGCCTACTGTAGGCTAACACTCTACAACAGTTGGCCTTTTCATTCATAAAGTAAACAGATCTAGCCTATATCACTAATTCAAATCGGTTTTCAGATTGATAATCAAGCCATTGAACAACAAATTGCTGATAGAAAACAACAAGAAGAGTATGAAAGGAGAAGGGAAGAGGCTTTTGGTAAGTAAGGGGGTGGTATTGGTTAGACAGGGATGTTTTTTATGAAACAGTACTCAGGGTCTTGGTCACATACCTAGGCTTTGATCCCGACTGCTGTCATATTGATATCTCCATAGTGTCAATCTTCCTTAGTGATGAAGGCAATATTCAGGATGTTCTAGCTTACACTGATTGACTGAATAAGTATTGCTGGCATTTATTAGTAATGAAGCTGCAGAAGTTTCTTGTGAACTCCATCCAATTCTTTACATCTTAAAGTTATACCTAAAACTTGTTTTTGAATTGAGGATTTCTTTTTTAGCGGCCGATGCAGTACGTAATGATTTGATTGGTTTGTTACTGGAGAAACGACAAAATGAAGATATGCGAGAATTGGACAGAGCAGAAATAGAATTCCGAGCTCTTCATCAGCATCCATCTAGCAGACGTGAGTTTGATCTTTACGATCCCGAAGGTTTGAAAAAAGACAAACCAGCGCGCGTTCATGATGACGATCCAAGATGTGGAATATCGAGTTTACAGAAATTCGAGGGAGAAGACTTGAACAATCCAGCCCGATTAAAATTACAACAAGAACAGAAAAAGAATTGGTTAGAACAACAGAAACTTGAGAAAGAACTCGCTGAAAGAAACCAAAAAGCTGCCGATAGACTGTACGAATTGAAACAAAAGGAATTAGACATGCGAGCACTTGATTTACAAGATGCTGAAGAAAATTGCAGACGTGCTATCAACATGGCTACCAGTGATTATAACAAAGCTTTGGTAAGTAATACAGAGTTTTCCAAATTTGGCTAGTGTTGGATTTCACCCTTTATCTCCTATCTTTGCCCATACCTGGTAGATCTCCCTGAAATGGTTGATTCTTCTGTCGAAGCTTGAGTCAGTCGTGAATTTTATTGTCTGCTAATCAAGTAGGTTCGAAACCTCAGTGCTTGGGACAGTTGGCCTACATTTGTTGGCCTGGCTGCCCAGTTGAATAAAATCCAAGTTGCAGAGTGGCACAATGTTATTAACAAATTCATTTTTATTCTCTGTAGGATAATGAACAGAAGGAGAAAGACAGATTAAAAAGACAACAAGATGAAGATGATAATGCTACAGAAATCGCTAATCATGTATTCGGTGATATCTTAACAGAGAACCCCTCCGTGGCCCAGTCGGCATTCGGTTCCCATCGTGTTATTTCTGATAGGTGGAAGGGCATGAGTCCTGAACAAATAGCAGACATAAAAAAACAACAGGAAATACAACGCAAAGAGAAAGAGGTAGGTTTCTTCAAATCCATGTATTATTTGTAGTAAAATATTAAAACAGAACCTGAACCATGTTGCTACTGAAGTTTGACAAGTAAAGATCGTCGGACAACTGACCTTTTTCAGCCTGTGTTCCTACTGAAGTTTGACAAGTAGAGATCTTCAGCGAAACGATCTATTTCATCCTGTGTCCCTACTGAAGTTTGACAAGTAGAGACCTTCAGACAACTGATCTATTTAAGCCTGTGCCCATACTCAAGTTTGACAAGTAGAGATCGTCAGACAACTGACCTATTTCAACCTGTGTTCCTACTGAAGTTGAAAAGTAATATGGGTATTTGTTTTTGTGTCTGTATTAAAACTTGCAGTCTCTTTATGAGCTGAGCAGAGAGTTTCGGTGTCATCAGGTGTTCAAAAAGGGTGAACAAACTTCTTCTCTGCCCCTTGTGGGTACTCTCCCAAAAATATCCATTGTTGATTTTTTTCTTAAATTTTGTATTTGTTTTGATTCCAGCGTCTTGAAGATGAGAAGCGAAGAAAAGATGAGGAATGGGATAAACAGCGTGTAGCAAACGCTCGGGCAGCGTTATTACTGGAACGAGAAGCTGAACGTAAACGCCAAGAAATCAACAGACAATTAGCAGATGAAAACAGGCGTTTAAGTCAGGAACAGACAGCTCATAAAGATTTCTTATATAAAGAGGTTTACACCAACCCCCCTACAGCTGCTTATTTCATGCAATGGAACAAAACCAGCCGTTAAGCCTATATCTTGTCTAAAACCCTGTTTATATGCAATCTATATTGCCTCGACGGTTAATACCCGATTGTTAAAGGTACCCAATTATACTACCCACCAAATGGGTAACGATACCAAGTGATAAATTTAGATTTAAGAACTCAAAAGGGTACATACCCTAGGGGTAATAGAATGCAAATAAATACAAATTTACTTTTCAACTAAACAATTTGTTTGAGTCATTAGAAGTAACAAAGGACAAGGTTCAAATGGAACAGAAGATCTAAGTTTCTAAAATACATGTTCAATTCTTTTGAAATCAAAATTTCAATTCGGAATATTTTAATTAATTTCATGCTTATTATCTTTTTAATCATCAGCATTTTTAATCACCAAAGTTTTTAATGAGATGATCATATATATGGACAGTAAGGTCACCAAACACCTTTTAGAATTATTTGAAAATTTATTGATTTTAATTTGTAATTTTATGTCCACTGAAACAGAATTTCACTTTCAAGAGATGTAATTTCCTAAAATAAGTTCGCCTTTGGGATATCACAGTTTTAACAGTGAGCATTGGAGGGAAACATTAATTTTGGAAAGGGAAATACATATATGGGGAAGAGTGCTTTTATAGGGGAGATCGGGAAAGGGGAAAAATAGTGGAAATGGGGGAAAATGTAAGGGTGATATTAAGTTATAATTCAGGGGAAGTAATGTCGAAGAATAATTTGAAATGGGGAAAATTTTATGATAGGGGAGATAAATCTTGTTTTATTGTAAATATTATTATACTCTAGTATTTATTATTATACACCTGTGAAAAAAATATATGAAAAATGAATGTCTTGACTTTTTACTCCTTGTCTGAATGGTTTCCACGATCTCAGCCAGACTTTTCTTGTCTACGATGAAGATATTTCATCTAAGCTATGCGCAGACAAAGTTGGACTGGATGATAGCGGCTATTTTCCTGCTAGGGTTTTACTCTGAAACTTAAGACATAAAAATCGATCAAATGCACGCGCATTTTCAAACATGTCCCATTTATATACAGTTCATTACGTTTCTGTCTTTACTCCTACAATAAGATGCAGGAAAAATAAGACGTAAAACTCTATTTATTTACTAGTGCTAAGAAAGAATAATTTTCTACTAGTAGAATGTTTAAGAGAGTAAACTTTTAACGCTAAAGACGTCTATAAAAATGTGTTATCATACGACCACAAAATTCGCAAAACTGATAACGAATTTAACAGATAAAAAAAACTTGATAAACACAAATACAACACTCATGACCGAATTTATCTTAGTGTACTTGTGAAAGATGAAGGGGTTCGTGCTTGTCTACCTCGCAGCCCTTTTCTGTGGGGCGTGGTTAGTGACTTCTACACCCTTGGATGATTACGTCAACAAACCCGACAGTAATTATAAATGGTCCAAGACCAACTGGACTTTCAGAGCGAATGGTGCTACTTTATATTTGTTGAATTTCACTTCACAGAAATGGCTCACAGGTAAGCAGTTTCATCATCACGTGGCCAAATGGGATTGGTGAAAGCCTAGGAGGTCCGACGACTAAGAACCCCTCCACAAAAGCTAGGAGTTTCTGCTTTGTTGTCATTATAGGAATATATTTCTGCACTGTCGTGGTTCTATAAATTTAAGAAGCGAACTTCCTAGTTCTCCTATCAGACTTGAGCACCTACTTGAATTCCACTTAGTATTTGGGGAAACATCAGATCCTTCATCAGGGCTTTGACAACGGTGTTTCCTCCTTTGGAATCTCAACCCAGATTCCTGCCCTGCAGTCAGTCTGCTTGCTATCTGTACCGCCAGACTCAGTTCCAGGCGCCGCCGCTGACACATGGTTCTCTATTTTGCAGAAGAGGATGTTGACAAACCATATTGGTTTCACTACATGGTAGTAGCTGTTCCTGATAAACTTACCCATCCTGAACACGGTCTCATGTACATTTCCTATGGAAGTAATGGTCCCACGTAAGTTACAATTTGCCAAATTAAGCCCTCGTTACTGTCAGTATTTAATAGCTAGCCAAATTGGGACCAAGGCATAACATTCGAACTCTATTAAAGACTTTGTAAGGGTCCCACGAATCTCTTTTTGACCCTACCAACGGTACTACCGGTTATAACCTAATAAAATCCTAATCAGTACCGAGACTTTGAAAAGACATTGCAGCTGACCCGTCTAACTGTTTGTCAAAATTAAGGGTTTTGCACCATATACTTCTCAGTCTCAGGAGACCTGTACTGCCCCCAGACTACTGACTGAGTTACGACCCCCATAACTTAACTAATTAAGCTTGTAAGCTTGCTTTCATATCATCTCCCACAAATTGATACAAACATTCGCCTCTAGAGCAGTATAGAACACCCATGTTGCCATTGAGATATGTCTTCACACCGAAATCAAAGCAGTTGATTTTTTTCAGATTTACCCCCGATGTAGGCGATGAATTTGTGACCTTTATCACATTAATGGCGGTCAGTACTGGAACAATCTGTGCCAACCTTCATCAAATACCAAATCAACCTCTAGTCTTCAAGGTAACTTCAAGGCTTTTTGTTCTTTGAGGGTCCATACTCCATTTCTAATTTTAAAATCTCTTTTTTAAGAGGAGGTGGAGGTGGTCCAATAATGTTCATATTCTTGCATTGATTATAATCGTATTTTTCACAGAAAGATCCTACTCAGATGAGTCGACATGAAGACGCAGTGATCGCATGGACGTGGAAGGTGTTTGTTGAAGATGAACCTAAACGACCAGAATGGTTGCTCCGACTTCCTATGACCAAGGTGATTCTTTTTACTGACTTCTGAATATTGGATACCATGGATGGTAACCTCGTAAGTTGCTGCACAATTAGGTCACAATTGCAAATGCACGTGCATTTTTGATTTGTACAAGATCCAGGGCCGTAGCCAACAAGCCAATTTTCCAGAGGTTCCTTTATGAGCTTATTTTTGGCTTTGCAAAAAGGCTTTGAATATGTCAACTGAAAAAACAATTCGACTATTCTTCGTTTAGGGAGCCGTGAGGGGTATGGACACCATAGCAGCCTTTGCAAAAACCATCTATCCACAATCGAATATCGACAAATTTCTGGTGTGTGGTGAGTCGAAGAGAGGATGGACCACGTGGACAACAGCTGCTGTAGATAAACGAGTTATAGCTATTGCTCCCATGGTTATGGACCTCCTGAATTTAAGAAAGGTGATTACAGTTTTCAGTTATTGATGAGATGTAGAATTGTGACATTCTGGGCTTGACCAGTGGAGTTAACTTGGTTATCATCTATTCTGTAGGGAAGATGTTGATTCGCACAATGATACAGCAATGCACTCATAGCAAGACATCCCCACCCCACCATTATTTTTCTGCTCTTTAAGGGGCCTGAGTACGAAGGAGTTATTTTCTTATTTCAGAATCTTCATCATCATTACCGATCTCTGGGAGGTTGGACATTTGCTTTCAGTGATTATTATGCACTGAACTTCACAAGACAGCTGGATAATCCACAAACTCAAGTCATGGCAGATATTATAGACCCTCTTGGTATGCTTTTCATTTTCATATTCTCTAACGCTAGCTGTGTGGACTCTTATGAACTCGTGGGACCCATCATAAGGTTTGTGCTTTCAAAGGGAGGGGGGGGGGATTGGGGATTAGCTAAATAAAACCTTGTTAGCTATGTTGACTCTGAGGACTAACAGTCATTAGCCACCTATGTGGATTCTTTATAACGAAAATTATGATGCAAAACCACCATTTCATCTACAGCATTTCTTTGTGGCTAAAATATTCTTGATTTTCTATTTGTAGCATATAAAGACAGATTGACAATGCCTAAATATATCATAACAACTGGAGGGGACGAGTTCTTTATACCAGATGATTCTTATTACTATTGGGGCATGCTCCCTGGTGAAACCTATCTCAGGTAAGTTCCTATCAAGGTTGAGTTTCTATGAATCGTTGTGTGCGTCCGAGTAGCGCCACAGACATATTAAGGGAGCTCATAGCACTCTGCAATTGGGAACTCAGTGATCAGATGAGATTGAAATTGCCCTAGAGGTGTCCCTGGTGTCTTCTATGAAGTTCGCTGAATCTTTAGGGACTAGCTAAAGTAGTGCACCCGAATTCTTTTGAAACTTTTGGATGTGGTCGTTTTTAAGTGTTTGATGATTGCATGAGGGCTTTGTGGGTACTTCTATAAAGACTATTTTTTCGAATGAATTGGTTCTCTTTCAGAGTTCTCCCCAACGCCGAGCATAGTTTAACCTTTCACAGAATTCAGTTATTTTTCGGCGTTCGATCATTTTACCTCAGTGCAATTCAGGTTAGTCTGGGTCATTCAGAAAGTTATTTCATTTCGACAACTTGACCTAATCTATATTCGGACAGTTGTTAACAAAATAATACTGTAATTATACAGGACAGAGCAATCTGTTAGCTAGTTGGACACCATGTCTTGCATTGCGATTTCGTTTCGCCGGCCTCATTACCCTAAACAAATACTGAAAATAAGGCCGTAAGAACCCAATTTCATTTCTTCTGTGCCTTTAAGTATTTGTGACAACATGATTTGATTTCTCTTGCAGCAAAAACCAATGCCAAAGTTTACATGGAAAAGAGAATTTGTAAGTAAAGAGCGGATTTTATCTTTAATTATACCAATTTTGCTTAAGGAACGATGGTACCAAAAAGATCCACTGTGTATGAGTTTTATCAATGGCGGTCTCAGCTGGCCTGTCACAGAGCTCAATTGAAAAACAAATACGTTCTGTATTGTAGACTCATGATGGTGGTAAAATAACAGTAACCACGGAGACTAAACCAAAAACTATCGAGTGTTATTACGCCAGAACTTTGGACAGTAAAAGGTAGGTTCTTTGGTAAATTGATAGCTGCTCGGGCGGAATTTAACTAATGGAGAAAGGATGGAGCTGAGGTCGGGACAATCGACGAAACAATGGCTTTATTAGCTGAATTAAATCAGTAGCTGCATTCGGCAATCTTCGGCAGTTTCCGTAAAGCTGAATCTTTTGTAGAGCACCATTCGGCTATGCGCGGCAGTTTCCGTAACGTTTAATTTGTTGAGAGGGCTAGCGTAACCTTCACGGTTTACCAAATGATAGAAGAAACACATTTCAATTTCAGACGAGATTTTCGACTTGCTGCAGCGGATCCCAATAATCCGAAAGGATTTGTACCGCAACCTATAATCTGGTTGAAGGCACCAGTCACAAACCCTGTAAGTAAGCCATGTCTTAACAGTCTATCGGCACTGGTCCCACATTTTAGTCCAAAAATATGTGTCCGTATTTACCAAATAAATTCATTTTGTAAAACATTTCTCCAGGGAAGCCCTCTCAGAAGTGCCATGCACTGTACACTCTATTTAGTTAGTCTGACCCCCATATGTACCCCCATTCTCGGTAGGCTGGCGCCGCCACCAATTGATATATGAAGTCGTCCATCCACTAAAGAAATGACAGGTCTCCTTCGTGTACTTTTCAGATGGTTGGGTTGTATGAAGTTTATTTTGATAATCCACCTACAGGCTGGTTGGGATTTTTTATCCAGGTAGGTCAAAGATCAGAGGTCAAAGTTCATAAAGAGCAAAGTGAACATAGCATGGCTATACATCTGTATATCTTTGGACGATTTGCAAGTACGGCATTGACGTCGCCAGACGGAAAATCTTGGCCTCAAAGGCTGCTCTTTGTGGTTTGGGTGTTTTTATGTGTACCAGGGACACTGATAGCATCAATGTGCACCATTTCAATTTTCAACCATATTTCTGTGGTCCTTGCAATTCACTAAAATAAGGCAATATGTTAGCACTATAGAAAAGGCTGTAATAATTTCTAAGAACCAAACGTCTGATTGAAAATTGAAATGGTGCAAATTGATGCTATCAGTGTCTCCGATGCACATAAAAAGTTAAGAAAAATCTCTCTACAACCCCTTTAAGGTGCTGAAATGGGTGCTGAAATGACGTACATCCCCATTACTATATTTCAGTTAAGTTTTAATGGACTGGATGCCGACAGCGATTTTATGTTTACAACTCAAACTCAGATTATTCCAAATTACTTCCCTTTTCCTGATTGTCAGGGTGCCGACTGTTTGGGAACTTTGGTATAAAACGAAAAATGGGTAAAATGATAAAAAAAAAATATCAAAATTCAACATATATCTTGTTTTTGTGGCAATCTGATGAATTTGCCGAGTCTAATTAACCCCAAACTTAATTTAGGTGGACCAGAAAGTTCCCTTCTTTTTGCCTATCGGTCTGTAAGTTTTTCAGCAAGCGGTATAGAAAATCATATATATTGGATCGTACGATAACAAAAAATTACATCACTTGTAGAGTGACATAGAAATACCAATGTTAAGGTAGTCACTCAGCTGAGTAGATTTTAAAAACAGATCACCAATTTTACAAATTCTCAAAATATTTCTTAACTAGATCAGCTATAGTGATCAGCACTCCATTACCAATTTATGCGAGTTCAATCAATTAAGAAATATTTCGAAATCTACTCAGCAAATTTGAAAATGAAGAAGAATAGAAGTGAAGAAGATTAATTAGTATTGACAATATAGATGTTCACAAACGTCCCATTTTTTTCATTCAAATGAACAGTCTTTGAAGCAGTAAGCCGTTTAATTTGTCGCTCCTGTCTGTAAGAGGACAATAAGGAATATGAAAAGAGCAAAAATATCTGTGCTTATCCTCGGACATAAATAGAGAAATAAACGAATGCAGTTTTTGGGATAAAATAATTCGAATTGAAAGTTTATAAGCCAAGTTTTAAATTGTGTTAATGGCCTAAAAATGAAGTGGAGCGCTCGTGTTTTTTTTTTTGAATCGCCACCCGTAATCTTGGTTCCACTTTACTAGAATTATTTAGATTGGATCAAAGTGGATGGTGGATAGTCTAGAGGAGAACTTAAAGGTAGGGACTTCATATTATTTGACTCTTGAGTTCTTATGTTATTTGATAAAATAGGTTTGCGTTCATTAAATATAGGCACCGTTTACTTCAGATATGCAAGTTAAAAGTCCATTGATAGCCGAGTATCGAAAAAAAAGAAAGCTAATGGCGATGAACAGTCAAATTTCTCTCATTGCACACTGCATAATGTCGGTCGTCTTCAACACAATCGGAAGAAAAAAAGAGTAAGGTGTAAAACTCCATTTCATTAATAGGTAGATGCTCATGATGGCATGATGTGATTATCCACACTGCTGGTTAACGAGGTGGTTGAAATGAATCCATTGTAGTCTGTTTTTAAATTTGAGTCTAAATTTAAAATGTAGTTACGTCCCTTTAGTCATAAACTAAAGTGTATAGTCAAAGTAGAAAAAATGACATTTGTGATAAATCCTTTAGCCGTTATGTTGACCACATACAAATGATCTTGGCAATTAGACCAGAAGCAAAATTTATTTTATACAAAAATGGATATGGTGCCCGAGTTTTCATGGTAAGAACTGACTAAGATTCCTGACAGTACCATTCCAGTTGAGCTATTATAGAGAACACTTATCCTGATAAGGTTCGTTTAAAAATTATCTTTTTTTAGACTTGATTCTACAGTGATTATGATGCCATAATTCTATAGTGATTATGATGCTATAATGTTATAGTGATGCTATAGGGATGTTATAATGCTATAGTGATGTCATAATGCTATAATGTTAAAGTGATGCTTTTATGTTATATTGATGTTATAATGCTATAATGTTGTCAAGTTATAGTGATGCTATAGTGATTATGCTGGTATGCCATTTTACTAACTAATATTGTTCTTCGAATGTGGTATGACTTTAAATCGTTATGGTACATCACTATATCATTATAACATCGCTATAGCATTATAGCACCACTATAGCATTATAGCATCACTATAGCATAATAATGATTATAGCATGATAATGATTATAGCATCATAAGCACTATAGCATTATACCATCATAATGATTATGTTTTAATCGTTATGATGCTATACTGCTAAAGCTATGCTACAATGCTATAGTCGTTATGATGCTATGACCATTATGATGCTATAATGCTATAGTGATTATGATGCTATTATCATGCTATAGTGATGCTATCATGATTATGATGCTACAGTGATTATGATGCTATAATGATACAGTTTTGCTGCTATACTGATTATCATGCTATAATGCTAAAGCTATGCTACAATGCTATAATCATTATGATGCTATAATGTTTAAGCTATGTTATAATACTATAGTGATGCTTTATTGCTATAGTGATGCTATAATGCTATAGTAATGCTATAATGCTATAGTGATGCTATAATGATTATGATGCTACAGTGATTATGATGCTATAATAATACAGTTATGCTGCTATACTGATTATGATGCTATAATACCAAAGCTATGTTACAATGCTATAATCATTAAGATGATATAATGTTAAAGCTATGCTATAATGCTATAGTGATGCTTTATTGCTATAGTGATGCTATAATGCTATAGTGATGCTATAATGATTATGATGCTACAGTGATTATGATGCTATAATACTACAGTTATGCTGCTATACTGATTTTGATGCTATAATGCCAAAGCTATGTTACAATGCTATAATCATTAATAATGATTATAATAATAATAGCATCAAAGCATCACTAAAGCATCATTACAGCATAATAGCACCACTTTTGCATTATAGCATCATAACGATTATAGCAACATAACGATTAAAGCATCACTATAGTATTTAAGCATCATAACGATTATAGCATCACTAAAGCATCATAGCATCATTACGATTATAGCACCAATACGATTATAGCATCATTACGATTATTGCATCATTACGATCACGATTAGCATCACTATAGTATCACTATTGCAACATTATAGCACCATTGTAATCATTATAGCCTTATTACGATTATAGCATTGTAATAATTATAGCCTCATTATGATTATAGCATTGTAATCATTATAGCATTGTAATCATTAAAGCATTCTAATCATTATAGCATTATAATCACTATTTGATGATGATGCTATATAGCATTATAATCACTACTTGATGATGATGCTATATAGCATTATAATCACATAATCACTGTAGCATTATAATCACTATAGCATTGAAATCACTATAATCACTTTAGCATTATAATCACTATAGCATTATAATCACTATACCATCATAATCACTATAATCACTATAGCATTACAATCACTATAGAATTATAATCACTATAGCATTATAGCATTATAGCATTATAATCACTATAGCATTATAATTACATAGCATTATAATTATCATAGCATTATAATCACCATAGCATTATAATCACTATAGCATTATAATCACTATAGCATTATTATGATTTTAGCATCATTATGATTATAGCATCATTATGATTATAGCATTATATTCACTGTATCATCATTATGATTATAGCATTAAAATCAATATAACATTATAATCACTATAGCATCATAATCACTATAATCACTATAGTATTATAATAACTATAGCATTATAATCACTATAATCGCCGTGGCATTAAAATCACTATAATCACTATAGCATTATAATCACTATAATCACTATAGCATTATAATCACTATAATCACTATATCATTATAATCACTATATCATTATAATCACTATAGCGTTATAATCACTATAATCACTATAGCGTTATAATCACTAGCGTTATAATCACTATAATCACTATAGAATTATAATCACTATAGCATTATAGTATTATAATCACTGTAGCATCAAATTATTGTAGCTTTATAATCGCTATAGCATAATAATCACTATAGCAATATAATCACTATAGCATAATAATCACTATAGCATTATAATGACTATAGCATAATTATGATTATAGCATTACAATCACTATAGCATTATAATCACATTATAATCACTGTAGCATTATAATCACTGTAACATTATAATCACTGTAGAATTATAATCACTGTAGCATTATAACCACTGTAGCATTATAATCACTGTAGCATTATAACCACTGTAGCATTATAATCACTATAATCACTATAGAATTATAATCACTGTAGCATTATAATCACTATAATCACTATAGAATTATAATCACTATAGAATTATAATCACTATAGCATTATAATCACTATAGCATTATAGCATTATAATTATCATAGCATTATAATCACCATAGCATTATAATCACTGTATCATCATTATGATTATAGCATTATAATCAATATAGCATTATAATCACTATAGCATCATAATCACTGTAATCACTATAGAATTATAATCACTATAGCATTATAGCATTATAATTATCATAGCATTATAATCACCATAGCATTATAATCACCATAGCATTATAATCACCATAGAATTATAATCACCATAGCATTATAATCACCATAGCATTATAATCACTGTATCATCATTATGATTATAGCATTATAATCACTATAATCGCTATAGCATTAAAATCACTATAATCACTATAGCATTATAATCACTATAGCATTATAATCACTATACCATCATAATCACTATAATCTCTATAGCATTATAATCACTATAGAATTATAATCACTATAGCATTATAGCATTATAATCACTATAGCATTATAATTATCATAGCATTATAATTATCATAGCATTATAATCACCATAGCATTATAATCACTATAGCATTTTTATGATTATAGCATCATTATGATTATAGCATTATATTCACTGTATCATCATTATGATTATAGCATTATATTCACTGTATCATCATTATGATTATAGCATTAAAATCAATATAAGATTGTAATCACTATAATCGCTGTGGCATTAAAATCACTATAATCACTATAGAATTATAATCACTGTAGCATTATAATCACTATAGCGGTATAATCACTATAGCATTATAATCACTATAGCATTATAATCACTATAATCACTATAGCGTTATAATCACTATAGCGTTATAATCACTAGCGTTATAATCACTATAATCACTATAGAATTATAATCACTATAGAATTATAATCACTGTAGCATTATAATCACTATAGCGGTATAATCACTATAGCATTATAATCACTATAGCGTTATAATCACTATAATGTTATAATCACTATAGCGTTATAATCACTAGCGTTATAATCACTATAATCAC